CGACTTCCCAAGAACACAACGAAAATGCCAGTATCGATTAATGAACCCATAGAATTATATAAAACTTACTTGATTATGCTTAATATTTGTATCAAAATAAAATCTGTTGAACAAACTGCAAATAAAGTTCAGTCTATTATTACTCCTCAGATTACTGAAACTACAGGTCTCTGAAGGTCTCTGGGTTTCTTTCCAACACTCCCGTTTTAGAAACTTTAGCTACTGTTGTTTAATTGGGCTTAGGATTTAAACACAACATCTCACGCTACTAAGTCTAGGTTCTTCTGTTAGGTAACTCCCTTCAAAAAACAGTTAGAAACTCCTGTTGACTGTTTCCTTCAAGTTTATTCCAAAGTAGATATTTTCAATTATTTCAAAAATTGTAAATGTTACATTAAAAACTTATTGTCAATCTGTTTAAATTGATATTCTTGGTTAAAGCAATAACAATGACATTTTCTGCATGTGTTTTATAAGAACGTTCAAGGTTAGTAACATTCATTTCTTGTAACAATGGTCTTGAAATGGCTAATTAATGAAACAGGCATGAAAGTAGTGTGAATATAGCAGCTTCACAGTAAAACCTCAGCAAACAGATATCCAACCTCAAGTAGACGGAAAATGCGAGAAGCCCAGTATAATGAGCACGTTGAAGACTAGCATGCCACTTACGCTTGATATCTTTATACCACGTGATGGATATAACTGAGGTGACCATTTGGACAAGAAATCATGGTTAAGACATTACCCATTGTTTCTATCTGCTAGGTCAGTGGTCGGCAAACCGCGGCTCGCAAGCCACATGCGGCTCTTTGGCTCCTTGAGTGTGGCTCTTCCACAAAATACCACGTGCTGGTGCTCACATACAGTGCGACTGAAACTTCGTGGCCCATGTGCAGAAGTCAGTTGTCGGCCTGGGCGAGTCTATTTTGAAGAAGTGGTTCTAACGTCGAGCCACACTCAAGGGGCCGAAGAGCCGCGTGTGGCTCACGAGCCGCGGTTTGCCGACCAGCGTTAGGTCATTTGTGGATCAAATGGCAAAAAAGAGAGAAAAATCAGAACCATGAGAACATCTACTTGAGATTTAGGAAGACACACAGGCTGGTGTTAGAAATTAAGGGTTTTCATAAGCTAAGGGATGGTTAGCAAGGAATAATGTCTGGTGAATCATAAAAGGCAAATTACTGCCTTTCTGGAGCTAGAAGAGAAAAAAAAATGGTAGCCTAAATAACATTTTAAGGCAGCAATTTGTATCTTTTAATATATTTAAAGTTTAGACTCTTTCTGGAATTCCCTTTTTAAAAACAACTCCAATAGGGGGGGAAAAAATGCTATCTACCATAAGTATAACAGGTATCTCTTTTTAAATGGCTTTTCCAGTAAATCTAATTTTCTTAATAACAGTAGTTGAAATGGAAAATTTATCTTGAAACTGTTTTCCTTCCCCTGGCTCTCAGGCAAGGTGGCTCCCTCTAGCCAAGGTACCTTGAGATACATTCTTATATGTTTATAGCTTTGCTCTTGAGATGGATATATATATATATATATATATATATATATATATATATATGAATAATATTAAACGTGTAAAATCAACTACACTAGAGCAAGATGATACTACATATTACCTCCAAGTCAGAAAACTCAGTTAGCTTTCTCAGCAATCTCAGTGCCTCCACAAACAAGGAAGCTATTTTCACAAATTGGTCTTGGAGATTGCTATGTTTAATTAGGTAATGCTTATTCAGTGGGAATTCTGCTTATTTTACTTATTCTCCAACTCTTTGAACTGAAAAGACCAGTTGATGTTTATGCCAAACCTGAACTTATTCTAGACTCTCTGACGAAAAAAAAACCCACAAAGCAGTTTGTTATTTCATACATACAAAACGGCCTAGATAGAAAGCACATCTGCCTAAGGGGAAAAAAATTAAGGTCATGTTAGTTTAAATGGTCAATAATTAACTACTGATGAATCAAAAACAAAGTTCTGCTATAACAAGTTGGCAATGCATATGCCAAAAGGACAATCAAAATCCCCTTTAAAAACACACCAGAAAATACCCATGTTCCACTGAACGAGGGTCTTCCAATCTTAATAAAAAATTAATTTTCAGGCCAGGAAAATTTTTTGCGGCATAAACGTTTTACAAAGTCTGTCACCCAAAAGAATTTCTTTAAGGGGGAAAAAAATCTTAGTAGCACTGAAATTAAAAAGTGAAATGAATAAAAAAATAGTTCTGGCAAGAGAGAGGAAACTTCCTCATGAAACAAAGGACAGACGTAAACAATGAACCTCACTTAGAGAAATCTGTTCTAGAAGAAAAGGAAGTTGGTAATACTGAGGACTATTCAAAAGCTAACCAAGATTTTTTTAACTCTAGGGTTGAAGCTAGTCTTTAAGTTGTTTAAAAGTCTTATTTGTGGGTACTTGCTGATATTACCCAAACAACACCAAAACAGCATGGCTGGTCCTCAGAAGCCAAGCCTCGTTTCCACGGAAACTTGCAATGATTCCTGCAGTAAGACTTGCTCAGAACCATTCAAGAGATTATGCATAGACAACAGGTTTAATGACCAACGGGAAGGGTGGTATTAAATATTGCTGAGAAAGTAAACATGCTGGGGACGGAAATACCATCAAAGCAGACTCTCAGAGGACCAGATGCAAACGGCATCCGACCCTGATGGCTGTAGGAGCGACTCGGACACTCACGGCAGAGCAGGGGACTAGTAAGTGGCTACTATGTTCAGTTTTGTTTTAGAAATCGCCACTTAGGAGTGTCACAACTTAACAGCTCCCTTATCCAATGCTTCCATCATCAATATATCTATATAAGGTGGCAGGGTGTACACATGGCTTCTTTAAGTAAATATAAATATAAATAATTTTAGAACGGATAATTCTTAAAGGTTCAAGTATGGAAACCAGAAAATGAGGCTAGTATTTCATGACAAGGGGTCAACCTGACATGATAGTCCTGTTTTCATATTATCCAGATGCCTCTGGACATTGATCTGGCGTGTGTTATAGTCTGAAGATTTGGGGGAGAGGGGATCATCATTGATGAGAAAATGATTTTCACAGACAACCTCTCATGCCAGAGACACGTTGTTTTCATTTGGGCTGTGTCTTCCGTTTTGTCACGGAGTTGGAAACACAAAGCTAGAGGGCAATTTTTTTTCTTCTTTCCTGGTAACAAAAGGATGGTGGGTAAAAGCTACACATGGAGACCTGACATCACACGGAGAAAATGTGATGCTGTGATTTATACTATTTGCATGTCTGCACTCTGCACACCGAGACCCTGAGACCCCTGAGACCCCGCAGCCACAGACAGATGAGCAGAAAGACAGCTCAGGGGGAGGCACTCTGCATCTGTCTGCCCTGCAGCTTGGGAACCTTCGGATAAAGGCCCGCTCTCCTCCTGAGCTGTGTGGGGATCACGGGGAGCAGCAGGATCAGAGATGTCAGCTTTCTTCACCCTTGCCATTTCCTAGCCCTGATGTAAAAGCCGACTGCAAGGACAGGATGGCCAGGGCCTCCAGTCGATTACCAGGACCCCCTGGTCCATTTGCAGTGTTCCCAACCTCCTCGTTTTAAAAAGTTATATTGTAGTTTCAAACTACTTCTCAAGTATAAGTGGTGGTACTAGACCAGGAAAACAACAAGAACATGCATGGCTTCAAAAGGGTTACGAAACCAGAAGTTTCAAGAGGACAAAGGTTTTCCCTTTGGATTTTTACAGAAGTTCATTCAAAACAGCTTTTAGACTGTAAAATATTTAAGATTGCCATAGAAAGTTTATATTTTTGTACAAGTTCAGTGGGGTTATTTTAGAAGAATCAAAAGACATGAAAAACAAGGGTAGTTTTTCTGCCTCAGATTTTGATGAATGTTGATGCATCTTTGACAAACATGTTCCTTCTTGAATGATTTCCTCAAACCAACCGGTTAGTAAAATATCTGAATTGCCATGTATAATGTCACATTGTTATGTAAACATTAAATAAGGTACCAAAAATTTTTACGGAGGGGGGGATAACCTTAAAGCGGCACAATTCTTTATACCACTGGCGTGGGCGGGGGCGACGGGGAGCCAGATTACAAACGTTTACACATGCATAGTGAGGAAAAAAGATTTTACTAAATCCACGCATTTTTAAAATAGTTATCAAGTCTACTAAGCACCAACAATCCTAAAAATTTTTCAGCTTCATGATCTGTTTTAAAAAAAAACACACTATCAAATGAACATTAAAAACAAGCTTGAAGTGTAGCTTGTTCAAAAAAAATAACTACGTATGCCCATGTTTTTTCAAGTTACAAAAAAACAGGGGCATACAGTACACCTGCAAAGAATGCCTCTGACTCTATCCTGCAGTGGATGGAGATGATGTCAGTACATCATACGTGGTCTAAAACTGTAAAAGTTTTAGAATGCAGCATCTTGTCACAAAAAAAAAAAAAAAAAAAAAAAAAAAGCTGGTAAAACTTAAAGTATTTAGAAGATGCTGCCCTTTATTTTAAAAAATTTTAAATGAATTTAAGCAAAAATAACATACATTTTGTACATAACTGGCCATTTCTGGTACAGAAACCCAGCATATGGTAATATTATTGAATAAATGTAAATGCTACTTACAACTTTTTTTTCTTTTTAAATACATTTTAGACAAACTTTTTTCTCTTTTTTTTTTTATAGTTGCACAATTAACCTCTTAGCTGCTAGCTTGATGCAAACATATGTAACAATACACAAATTTAAAAATATTTTTATTCTACATAAAGCTGTCAAAATTCCGACTCATGTCAAAAATGCAAAATAATGGACTATACTTTTAAAAAATTAGTTGCAAGTCTAGCAGCGAAGCAATTAAGTGAGAACATATTTAATATTAAAACAAAGGAAACTGTGCATCTATAGATGAAGTCCAACTATCTTAATTCTATTGAAACAAAAATTAAAACGTTCTCCCTGGAGGCAAAAACAAAGTGATTATTTAAAATAGGAGTAAAAGCCGTTGCTGCCTGCGGAGCTCCCCAGGCTGAGTTCCTGGAACAGAGACAGAGGGTCGCTGCTCTTCTTGGCCTGCTCAGGCGGGGGCCTGGGCTTGGGGGGCGCCCGCAGAGCGCTGGCATAGGACATGGCGGGCTTGCTGCCCGCCGGGGTCTGCTGGCCACTGCTGTTAGCCGACTCTGCGATCTGCTTGTTGGGCATGAGGGGGGGGAACTGGCCGAGATGCTGCAGCACATTGTAGTTGAAGGAACTGGACGCCTCGAGGTTCTCAGACTTCAGTGGATCCTCAGGGGGTTTGACGGTCTTGGGAGGAGCTACAAGCAGGAAACAGAGACAGGGATTAAGAGCGAGTCTGGTGACCCTCATACATCTCATTACCACGTGTCACACCTGGCTCTCGTCTCCAGGAACTCAGGGACGGGGCAGCCAGAAGGACAGGCAGCTCTGCCACAAAATGTCAAAATCATAATGCACCTACCAAAGTTCTCTCTTAACACCCAACCAGAGTTCACTCCCGGAGCTGGAATAGCTAGCATATAAAAACTAAAGGTCAAGTCTGAAGGTTTGCTTTCAAAACTCTAATATGTACAACTGGACATTTGAAATTTATTATTTTACCTGTACATGGTTTGAAAATGGAAATGAACCTATTCTTTCTTAAATAAAAATAAGCTGAATAGGAGACTTCTGGTCAAAATAGCTTTGTAATAGCTGCACTGAATTCCATTGCTTATAAATGCTACCTTTTCTTGCAATACATAAGTAAACATGGCATAAAGAGAAACCGCTATCAACTTCAGGTCATGTTTCCTATAATCTAAATTTTAAAGGTCCTTTAAAATTTAACTGACTCCTTCAAATTTTACTGCCCACTAAATCATAACTTGTTTCCAAACACTGCTCTTGTTTTCAATCTTTTAAGATTTTAGCTAATATTATATTGGATTATAATCATATACATATTCACTGAAGAATACTTGAAAATTACACAAAAGGCCAAAGAAGAAAACCAGTCAGTGATATTCCCAAATACCAGAGAGAAGCCTTAATTTGTTGGTGTATTTTCTTTCCAAAGGGCAATATATAATGTAGATAAATTTTAAGTGACCTCTCATTTTTAGAAATTTGGATTATAAGCAACATTTCAGTCATACACTGTGATAAATGTTATTGGAAATAAACATTTTATTAATATTCACAACTATTTCCTTAGGATAAATCCCTAGAAGTATAATAGCTGGATAATAAGGTATACATACAATGAAAGGTTTTCATAACTATGGTCAAACTTCCCTGCAAGAAGACACTCAACCAACAATGTTTACACATCTCCCCATTTAGTTACCACATTGGTGTTTTTACTTTTTTAATCTTAACCTACTTAATAAAGAAATAATCTTATTGTAGCTGATTTGCATACCTTTGATTACTGGTGTTTATGGACATTTCCTGCATGTTTATTACCTATTTGTGGATTGAGAGGTTAAGGTGAAAATGTTTCATTTTTTGGTCTTAATAATTCATCGACTCAATATGCTATTTTCAAGTGTACTTAAAAATTCATAAAATCTTTCAAAATTATTTTAAACCACTTAACATCCTTCTAGAACATTTAATTCTTTTCCATCTCAGTGTCACTGATTTTGTAAGTGAAACAACTGCTTTTAAGAGCATCTGTCCAACATTTCAATATAAAAGTGGACACTACTGCCTATCATAGTACATAAAGCAAACATTTAATTGGTTATTAAAGAACTTACTGTTTTTATTTACCAAGATTTATTTTTAACCATGTTCTCATTTTCATGACTACATAATCAGTTTATAATAAATACCTACAAAATAATATTTTAGAGGCTGTTTAGCCTAATGTCTATGCTATTATATCTAACTGAATTCAAAACTTCTATTAATTTATATATTTAACTCCAGATAAGAGAAACTATCCTTTTTTAAAAATATATATATTTTATTGATTTTGTACAGAGAGGAAGGGAGAGAGATAGAGAGCTAGAAACATCGGTGAGAGTCATTGATCAGCTGCCTCTTGCACACCCCCTACTGGGATATGCCCGCAACCAAGGTACATGCCCTTGACCGGAATCGAACCCGGGACCCTTCAGTCCCCAAGCCGACGCTCTATCCATTGAGCCAAACCGGTCTCGGCGAGAAATTATCCTTTTAATGTCTGGTAAAGTATGTCTCCTTACCAAGGTAAGTGAATAGAACCCAAACACATGGCGCTAGAGGCGACCTCACCTGGCTGGGGAACCACCATGCCCATGCGTAAAGGCCCTGCAGGGCATGGGATCAGCCCCTCACTGCACAGGATCTATTTTCATTTTCTCCTATCAGCAGACACTGAAAGAGCCTGAAATGTGATCAGCACCAAAGTGGGAAACCCAAAGCTTAAAAAGGTCACAGACATGGTCTGCTCTCAGGCCTACAACTGTGGAGAAACTATTTTCCTGTTGATTCACCACTGGCAACTGCTGCATTTCTCTGAAAATAAATATGTATGTATCTATATACATACCCGCTGATAAACAAGTTGTAGCTCAGGATATTAGTGATTTTGAATTAATTTTTACATATTTAACTGTTACTTTCAACTCAAGAACAGTACAATTTGTCTCCTAGCAATGAAGAAAAGCTTATCTAATGAAAGAGTAATATGCAAATTGACCAATACTCTAAGACACAAGATGGCTGTCACCATGTGGACACAATATGGCTGCCACAAGATGGGAGGGCAGGAGAGGGCAGTTGTAGACAGTTAGGGGTGCCCAGGCCAGAAGAATAGGGCAATTGGGGGTGACCAGGCCAGCAAGGAAGGGCAGTTTCAGGGGAAGGGGGGGGGGGGGACTCAGACCTGTAGGGGAGGGCAGTTGGGGGCGACCAGGCAAGCAGGGAGAGCAGTTAGGGGTGACTGGGCCAGCAGAGGAGGGCAGTTGGGGAAGACCAGGTCAGCAGGATAAGGCAGTTGGGGGAGTCCAGGCCTGCAGGGTAGGGCAGTTGGGGGGGACCAGGCCAGCAGGGGAGGACAGTTTAGGGAAACCACGCCAGCAAGGGAGGGCAGTTAGGGGCAACTGGGCTGGCAGGGAGCAGTTAGGCATTGATAAGGCTGGCAGGGGAGTGGTTAGGGGGTGATCAGGCTGGCAGACAGAAGTGGTTAGGGGCAATCAGGCAGAGGCAGGCGAGCTGTTGGGAGCCAGCAGTCCTGGATTGTGAGGATGCCTTACAGCGCATTTAGGCCCAATACCATTAGATCAGGCCTAAACAGGCAGCCGGACATCCCTCAAGGGGTCCCAGATTGGAGAGGGTGTAGGCTGGGCTGAGGGACACCTCCTCCCCCACCCCCGTGCACGAATTTCGTGCACCAGGCCTCTAGTAATTTTATATGTGATAAAAGATACCAGGAATGACATGCACTTTAGGCATTTGTTCAGGAACTTTCTACCTTATCAGCTCAGGTTAAATTTTTATTGATTTTGACCAACAGCTATCCTAAAATTTAAGTGGAAAAAAGACTGAAATAATGTTGTCTTTAAAATAAATTATTATAAACAAATCAAGGAAAAAGTAACAAATTTCCATCACTGGTTTATAATTTAGATGTTTCTTGGGAAATTAGAATGTGATAATAGGACTGTATTTACATTCAACCTTTAAAATGAAAAGGCAACCCCAGGCAAAATACAGCATACATATGGTAGGTACTAATGAATGTTTAAAGATTAAAATGACAATGTCTTGCCAGGAAACAAAACCAAAGTCTTCTTACTGCTTTTTGCCCTACCATGTCTATAGTTCTAAAAATATGCTTGCATGGCACACACTCAAAAATGGGTCAGTTACAGAAACAATGGGTTCACATTCTAAAGATGAACAAAATTAATTTCAAATACAAAGGTTGCTACCAAGGCAGAAATTCACCAAAGATCACAGACTTGTTCCTAAAGATCGATGTTGACAGCCTACAAACAGAAGGCTATAGATTACAGAATGCAAATAGTAGCATTCATTTCTTTACATTCAAAATACACACACACACACACACACACAAAAAAAAAAAAAAAAAAAAAAAAAAAAGAAGGAACGAAAGGAAGATGAACATTCATGTTCAAGGTTAAAGAGGAAGACTGTAGACATCCCACCATACATGTTTAGAGCCTTACCCATTCCAATGCCTTTCTATGCTCTTGTTTTTAACTCTTTAGCCTTTGTAAGCCCAATATCTAAAAGACATCTTTTATAAGAAATAAACAAAGAATTTCTAAATTTCAAAATGTTAGACTTTACTGATTTCTCTCATGGCCAAACTACTATGTCTCAAACTTGACTGAGAATAAATCCTTGAAAACTGATATTGACCTAACCAATTTTGCCATCCCCCACTCTGAAGAAACAGCCCTCAAAAAAAAAAAAAAAAAAAAAAAAAAAAAACCCACACAACAGAAAACAAACATTTCCCAAGCAAAGGTGAGTCTATCTAGTATTCAGAAATACATTTTAAGTTCTATTACCTCTTTCATTTGTTCACAGATCAATATGATCAGTTCCCCATAAATACTGATCCACTTACCTTCTAGACCATAAATATGGAATGAATATGGCCCTAAATTAATGTGTGCCTGAGACTACGGCCACTAAACATTGTTCAAAGTTAATAATGCAAATGGGGAAGACGGAAGGAGAAAACTCCATAAACAACCACAGTGTTAGCAGCCCACCAACTCTGTCTTACCTATCAATTCTCTGGGCTGCGCTGCTCTGCTGGATCCATTGCACGGAATGTTCTGATAGGGAGTAGATGAGGTGGCGTTCACCCAGGACTCCGGGGATAGAAAGTTGAAAGAGGATTGGTTACTGTGGTCCTGAAGCTCTTTACACTGAGCAAGGCTATCTTCAGGAGTGCTTTCTTCTTCAGAACACGGTTGGACTGAGCTAGAGGAGATTCTTCTTTGGTACAAGGGCCGGCCGGGTCCTCTGGGTTCATACTACACAGAGAAAAGGACAGTTCATCAATCAGTGGAACTTACGCCCTCCCCACTTCCTTAGATGCACAGCAATCTCACTGTATTAAGTAGAAAATCTCAAAAATATTCTGTCTTCAATAAGCAGTGCCATCCTGAGCAACTGACTTAACCTCTTGAGAACTTCATCTGTAAACGTAGATTTATTATCCACAGTATCTACCTCTTAGGATTATTGTGAAAATTAAAATCAATTCAGCATGCATTTAGAACTGTTCCTGGCTCACAGGATGGGCTTGCTATTATATAATTGTTTTAATGTAACATGTAAAGATAAGATTCCATGTAAGATCTTTTTTTTTAATATATATTTTATTGATTTTTTTACAGAGAGGAAGAGAGAGGGATAGAGAGTTAGAAATATTGATGAGAGAGAGACATCGATCAGCTGCCTCTTGCATATCCCCTACTGGGGATGTGCCCGCAATCAAGGTACATGCCCTTGACCGGAATCGAACCCAGGACCTTTCAGTCCGCAGGCCAACGCTCTATCCACTGAGCCAAACCGGTTTTGGCTCCATGTGAGGTCTTAAATGACAGATTGGGATTAGTTTTTATTGCCCCCTCTTTACCCATTAATAATAAAATTGCTGTTCAGTTTGTGGTCACCAGGATTCTGAGGAATCTTTTCTTCACCATGGTTGCTAGCAATAATTGGAAATCAGGCACTGGAGGCTAGATTACAAAGGAGACAGCTGAATTGGTACAGTCATAGCAGGATGCTTTTTGGGAATCTAAGCACAAGCAGGTATTGTTAGGCCAGTTAAATGGGAAAAGTGGTGGTGCAGGCACTGTGAGGGTAAGACAACCACCAGAGTATAAGCCAGGCAAGGGCGTGGTCTGGACTGGCCGTCCCTGTGCAGAAAGGCAGGAAAGGGTGGAAGGAGAGCATTTCTCTAGCTATTAAGTGATGAATGCCCAGGTGGTTTCTGCATTGCTGAAATCTTAGCTACTGGATGAGAAAGGTGAGAGATAATAACTTCCATCTAGTGAGTTCTTTCTCTCATATTTATTGTTGTTCTATATCTAAGAGTAATATCTAAATTCATCTTTAAGTTTACTCTGCTTTAAAGGCAATTTTTCTTCCAATGGTCGAGTTCATTAAAACCATTTATTCCTGGTTTTCTAGAAGATGATCCAATCTAAATAATCAGCACATTTGAAATTTCTTCGCAAAGGTTATTACAGTCAGGTATTGAGTAGAATAAGTAACCTTTCTAAACTGCTTTGTATTCTCTATGGCAAGGCAATCCCTGGATGACTGATCTTAATAGCTTGTGCAGTATGTCTTTTCTTATCAATCTTTGTTATGAAGATGATTAGCTCGTTGAATCTAAATGAAGCGCTTCTTTATTACCAGGCCCTGAGTGTTTAGCCCAGTCACAGTCTGCAGGGCATCACATTCTAAAGTCTGTGTGTGTGAATACTTAAGCATAAAATTAATGTCAGCTCTGGACTCATAAGGAACAGGTTATAATAAATCAAATCCCCTGCTGATAACACAACACTAAATACATTCACGTGAATTTCAGGCGTTAATTTTGTAAGCCCTTTTTCATTAAGTACTTAACATATATACACCAGCAGCATATACAAACACCTTTTGGCCATGAATAGTTCCATAAGCCACAAAGCTTACATAAGGAAAACTAAAAACCAGAAAGCAATATAAGGTTGATATAAAAAAAAAAAAAGACAATATTCAATTAAACTTTTTAGAAAATATGTATCATCTGTGGCTTCCAAACTGAAATTAAAAGGAAAAAAATTACACAGCTGACAGGCTCAGCAGGACTTCACATGTTTATAACAGATCCTAAGCAGCCACCGACAAAGATGAATGTGTAGATGAAATATGAAATTCAATTCCAAATCACATGATGAATTCGACTGATCCTTTATGTTGGAAAAACAACCAAAACTTGAAATTACTTTTATGTTCTTCAAATTAGATAGATAAAATTGAAGATTTTACATGTATATATAAGAGCCTACTGTTACATCTATTTCATACAACACAGATGAAGGTAAATGCATAAAAATACGATTTGCTATTCTGGAATCTGTCCTCCAAGGAAATTTGAGTACAGGCAGAGAAATCTTGGTGACAACTGAACAAAATGATTTATACACCAAATAAATTACATTTCAGCAGTTTTGTAGTTTTCAGCATACCAAGCCTATACAAACTTTGATAGATTTATAACTGAGTATTTAGTTTTTTTGAGTTATTGTAATGGTATTGGCTTTCACATTTGGGTTTCTAATTGTACAATGCAAATTACAGAAATGGGATTGATTTGTCTGTGTTAACCCTTAATTCTAAAAGCTTGCTAAATTCACATTTGTTGGTTAGTTTTCTGGGTAGATACCTTGGGTTTTTCTACTTTGACAATCATGTTATCTGTGAACAGAGTCAGTTTTATTTCTTCCTTACCAATCTCTATGCCTTTTATTTATTTTATTTTTATTTTTTTATTTTATTTTTTTGCCATACTGCACTGGCTAAGACTCCAGTATAATGCTGAATATGAGTATTGAGAGTGGACATCTTACCTTATTCCTAATCTTAGAAAGCATGCAGTCTCTATTATTCAGTATGATAGCTGCTGTAAACTTTTATAGGTAACCTTTAGCAGGTTAGGGAATTTCTCTTCTATTTCTAATTTTCCAAGAGATTTTATGAGTGGATGTTGTGTTTTGTCAAATGTGTGTGGGCTTTTTGTTACTTCTGTTGTTATCTTACAAGTCCAGGAAGCGCACAGAACCCCAAACAAAAGGAACCAAAGAGGACCACACCAAGACACATCATAATTAAAATTCCAAGAGCAAGAGACAGAGAATATTAAAAGCAGCAAGAGCAAAGAAGGTAGTTACCTATAAAGGAGCACCCATTCGATTGTCAGCTGATTTCTCAACAGAAACCATGCAGGCCAGATGGGAAGGGCAGGAAATATTCAAGGTGATGAATAGTAAGAACCTACAGCCAAAATTACTCTACCCAGCAAAGCTATCACTCAGAATCGAAGGTCAGATATAGAGCTTCACCAATAAAAAAAAGCTAAAGGAGTTCATCACCGCCAAACCAGAATTATATGAATTGCTAAAGGGGGTTCTTTAGGAAGAGGAAGAAGATAAAGATAAAAATTATGAACAAGAGATACGTAACTATCAACAAGTGAAAACCAAGGGAACAGAATCAGAGGTATGGAAGGGGAGTGAACTGACGATTCTTGGGGAAAAGGGGAGAGGGGGATGTGGGAAGAGACTGAACAAAAACTGTGCACCTATGGATGAGGACAATGGGGGGTTGGGGAAAGGGCATAGGGTGCAGTGGAAACCTAGTGGAGGGGAGCAATGGAGGGGGAGGAAAAAAGGAACATTTGTAATAATCTGAACAATAAAGATTTATTTAAAACAAAAAAAGAATCAAGAATCCTAAAAACGAACCATCTCCCTCTCTTCTCCATCACCATCCCCCAACCCCAAAACAGAGAACTTCCTACAACTGAACATTTAATTCTTTGGTCCCAATAACTTGACTTTTCCTACATCTGCTTGATGTAATGGCAATCATTTCTCCTTTTCCAGCAGTGAACCTTACTCCTAGCATAAAGATCTGAACAACATCAGATTGGAAGTCAGGAGTCTCGGCTCCACTTAATTAGTAGCTGCTTAAGCTACTAATATCCTTCTAACATCATAGAGCCTCAGTTTCCTTTAACAAAAAGGACTTATATAAATTATCCTCAAGCCCTAGTCTAGTTGCAAAGCTCTAGTTTGTAAAATCTTCAATAAATGAAAACTCCTGACAATAAGTATTTTAACTTTTTATCATTAAAATATCCAAACAGCCCGGCTCAGTGGTTGAGCATCGACCTATGAACCAGGAGGTCACAGTTCAATTCCCAGTTAGGGCACATGACCAGTTTGGTCCTCAGTGTGGGGCATGCAGGAAGCAGCCAATCAATGATCCTCTCATCATTGATGTTTCGATCTCTCTTTCCCTCTCCCTTCCTCTCTGAAATCAATAAAAAAATATATATTTTTTTAAATATATTTTATTGATTTTACACAGAGAGGAATTGAGAGGGATAGAGAGTTAGAAACGTCAATGAGAGAGAAACATCGACCAGCTGCCTCCTGCACACCCCCCACTGGGGATGTGCCCGTAACCAAGGTACGTGCCTTTGACTGGAATCAAACCCGGGACCTTTCAGTCCGCAGACTGACGCTCTATCCACTGAGCCAAACCGGTTTGGGCATTAAAAATAAAATAAAAATATATTTTAAAAAAATATATCCAAACATAAACTATCACCAAACTTTAATGATCATCAACAATTTGACGTATTGTTAAAATAATTCAAGTATAATGACATATTCAAGCCTATTTATTTAAATTCAAAAAATACTACAGATCATGTTAATTGACTATAATAAAATGCATTCTGGACTTATGATTTTAAATTTTCAGATTTTTTTCCCCCACAGAGGGAAATTTCTATGAAGTACTCTGCAAGACAAGGGACCCAAACAAAAATTTTAGAGGAAGATCCCTGTTCTGAAAAAAAAAAAAAAAAAAAAAAAAAAAAAAATTTCTGGCTGAGAACACCCTTTATATTTCTACACTTCAGTCTTATGGGCCCCTAGGCTATTTAAATATATAAGCTATACTTTTTTCCTCTTCTTTCTTTTTTCTTGGCCATTTTTTGTTCCCTGTTATTTTGCCCAGTTCTCAATTTTCTCCTATAGAGACTATTCTTTCTATAGGAGAAAATAGGATTGGCATCATCATATAGATGCCAACCCTATTAAAGATGGCAACCTGACACTGGGGTCTAATTTAGAGTCACTGGGTCTTTGATAACTTCATTATTTATTGCTTAAAGGCTCATCCTACTCTGTCAGAGATCCTTACTCTGGGCTCAACTCCATATACGTTTGTATGTCTATAGATATTC